CTAGTAAAGCCTGGGATGAAGCATAAAAGAGCAACGGTTATCAACAAAAGCTGCACGCATAGCTAGGCGCACAGGAGTGTTCATCTTTTTATACACAAAAAAAATGATGAACTAACTCTCAACACCCTCCTCACGCCTCCCCCCAACTCCAGTCCCTGCTTGGTGACAGGTGTTTTCATCTATACTCAGGAGCAGTGTAGATTAAAACTGCCTTCAAAGTGTATTTCCACTTTTGCAGTCAAATCGGGATAACACCTATTATATATTTGTTACATGTTCCCATTCACATAGCATGAAAATAAATATTTTTTATAGCTATATATATATATATAAAGAAAAGTTAAAAAAATGCTTCTTGCATGTTAATTTGTTTTTACTTGGGTTAGGGTTTCTTGGCTTCTTAAGGGTTAAAACGTCTACAAAGTTTCTTCGTAATGATAGAAGGGGTTGTGAGGGGTTTGCATTGTATGTTAATGAAGTCACCAAGATACTAATTGCTGCTGTAGACTAAACAAACATTTCTAGCATTCCGCCTAAACAAGGAAGTTGCGGTCACAATCAGGAGGCTAAAAATATTTTGTCAGAGGCGACTTTTTTACGTCAACAGAATGAGACGAGACAGTCCGTTTCTTTTTATAAACATTGGTTTTTACATTTTGTGTCATATAGGAAAAATAGTTTAGTCTTTTAGTCTGTGTTTTCACCTCACAGGAAGTGGGCTAACGTTGTAATTTCCAGAGAAAGAGACAGAAGCCGTCATAACAATCATATTTTAGTCCCTTGGGAAAGCCTCACAGAATCCTGCAAGTCTAAAAAGGACATGTACAGTGGTGCACAGCACCGAAGGGGAAACAGACTGGAAACCACATCCATTGCTTATGATAGGGGAATGCTGAGCTGGCCAAGACATGTAAGCATAGTATAAGCCCACAAGCAGTGGGGTACTGCACACTGGTCAAATCAATACAAAGAATAACACTGAGCAACAAAAATAACTGATTCCCAAAATACAATGGAAATAAAATTTAGAAGAAAAGATGAAAAGTTTGCGAAGAATATCAGATATAAAATGGACTCATGCTGGAAGTAATTGATACAAAACTGACGCATTGAATTTGGGTTGAGGATGGCAGGTTGAATCACTTGCTGCTGACTTGCTTTCATGTTTGAGGCAATACAACAGCAAGTTTTCTCAGTGTAGATCCGGTCTTCTCCACCACCTGAGACCTTGACAAGGGTGTCCTAGTCCCGGAAGTGAAGTAAAGTTGGTTTGAAGGAACATAGTTTACTTTTAAAGTAATATTACACTCTCACACTTAATAGGTCCACAGCAAACTAATATACATTTCCCAGCCAAGTATATATTTACATTTTTGCTCAAGTACTCATCATGTCATCACCATCATCATGTCATCATGAGTCATTATGTTTCCGAACAGCTGGTTCCAACTTTTTTAGCTCGGCTTTCTTTAATGTCCTGTCCAGTACAAATCACAAGGGACAGAGCAGTCTCCAGCAGCCGGCCATCTACAAACTTGGAAAAGAAGGAGAGGAAGGAAGAGAAGGGAGCAGAGAGAGGATTGTCTTGCTGTGCCTACGTGTTTGTGGCAACACACACAACTTACTAGCATACACAAGGGTGGCTCCATAGGAGCCACCCTAAAACAGGATATCAGGGCCAGTGATCAGGGGAGTAGTTAATTCTTCAGGAAGCGAAACATTTTAACCACTTGCCGCCTATGGCCGTTCTTGAGTCTAATGAAGGGGTACCCCTGAGGCCCCGAAAACGCTTGTAACCGAATGGCAATGTGTCATTAAGTGGACTTTTGCTGAATTACTCATTGGTGTGCTGGTGACATTTTTTGCTACTCGTGTTGTTCATGGTGCCGTCCGTGGTCCCCACAAGCACCCACCTGCTTCCGCAGGTATACTATTGTTTCGGTAAGGAGTGCAGCTGGTTATCTATTCCATCTTATTTACCTGACGTGACCCCGTCTTTTATATTTTACCCAAAAATGTGGGTGATAATAAATGTTTCATAACATGTCATAGGGAAACAGGTTTTTTTTCAAAATTTAGGCTACTTTATTTGTTATATAGTAAAAAATAAAAACCGCAGTGGTGATTAAATACCACCAGAAGAAAGCTCTATGTGTCCCCAAAAAATGGTATAAAATTAATTTCAGTACAGTGTTGCATGACGGAATAGGCGTCAGCCAAAGTACCGCAGCGCTGAACAATGAAACATGGGCTGGACAGGAAGGTTAACACCCTGGTCTACAAGTGGTTCATTATCAAGAAGCAGCAATATACTATAAGCTCTATCTAGTATAGTAAGCTCAATCATTATCAAATATTCTTCTTTGCTGAAAGCTTCAAATCTTAATATCAGGTGTGGGCAATGTCTGGCCCGTGGGATCGTTTGATCTGGCCCTTCGGGCTGGCTCCCCGGGTGTGATGCTGTAGACTGAAAGGGGTGATCCACCTCTCCCCCCTGCAGCGTTTGACACATTTGGCCCAAATTTGTCCTCTGTGGAGGTGAGTTTGAGTGTGTCCACTGGTGGACCCTGGGTTGGGTATTGCTGGAGTTGTCCATTGGTGGTTCCTGCGGAGGGTTATTGCTGGAGTGTGTCCATTGGTGGATCCTGGAGGGGGTATTATTGGAGTGTGTCCACTGGTGGATCCTGGGGAGGGGGTATTGCTGGAGTGTGTCCACTGGTGCATCTTGAGGGGGTATTGCTGTAATGTGTCCACTGGGG